TTAATAAACACGAGGAAGCTGTAGGAGTGGGAGAATTTTTCTCTGACGATCCTAAATTTATTATTATATTATTCAAAAAACTGATAAAGATCACACATTCTTTCAAACAGCAGTAAGACTATTTCACAGAAGTCACTGTACATTATCTATTGGGTGACAGTGGATGTGTTATATTTTAGGTTGTTTAGAGCTGTGGAATTAAACCTGAACCCTTGCACCTGCTCTCTCACTAGCTTTGGTGAACTAAAACTTTAAACCATCCTAAGAAACTGGCACTCTCATTTGTCAAGGTTATAATATTGAACCGCAGTCACCAGTGAGACAGGAATCACACGCAGGTCTTATAATTTCAGCCATTTTGTTTAATAACGTTCCACTCGAGACCTCCCTCACATGGTTCACCAAACCCACCGCCTCTTATTCAGCATGGCCCGCCTGCCCTGCGCCCCTGGCATTTCCTGTGTGTAAAACAGAGTGGGCAACGCTGGCAACTAGCACCCATTTCCAATAATGGATACCAGATGAAGGGTGTGTGTTTAGGTATGTGCTGTATGTGTGCAAATCCTGCCCTAAACCCTAAATGAATGCTGTACCTTTCTAATTATCCAGCACAAACTCCAGCTTCTCTTTGTTTTCCCTCCCATTTTCTTGCTCTTTGCTTTCGCACAACATGATTAATCGAGCTCCAGCTCCACCAAGAGGTCTTTTATTTTTAGAACACGGGGACGATCTCCAAGACGCAAGAGCTCATCCAACATAAACAGATTCTGGTACAAAGAGTACTTGTTTAGACATTCTTAAGATTCTTCTGCAGAACATAAACTCCCCCCAAACCCCACCTCAACATCTGCATGTATATGTGCACATACGCACATCTTAAAGAGTAGATGGCTCCAAATAAACAGAGAACATTCAGCCCTTCTCATGTTCCTTCACGTGGAAAGCAATATTCACTTGATGCATGAAGGTATTACTAAATATAACATTCAAATATCAGCAAACATGAATTTTCTTTTTTTTTTATGTGTGCAAATTGTTTAGGACTCTTACCTTGACTTCACATTTCTTGTGGCATGCGATTCGGCACACTGGAAAAAGAGAAAAGGAGAGAAAAACCAATTAACTCCACAGATCATAAAAAGCTTTTGAACATTATGGAGAAATTCAGACTGCGTGTTGCATTATGAGTGATGACGCTGAGCAGCTGTCAAGAAGACATGAAAAAGCAAGAGGTATATTCAAATTCCACAATGTTTGTACTGTGGTCAAAGTCAAACAGCATCTGCTGTTAGCAGGCTGATACTGCCACAGCAGCTCACACTCCCAGCAAAGGCTTAGAATTCACTGCTGTGAAGGATAACACACAGCGAGAGATCTCATCTCTGTGTCATCGGTTAAATGAACTTTTTAAAGTGAAATCATCACCAGTGCCATGATCTTTTTACTGAAGCATCTCAAAATCTACAGATCAGTCAGGAGTCGGGATGTTTCAGCCGTCTGTGCATTTGTGCGACAGGCCACTCTCCAGTTATCGATTCCTACACTGACCACACGACTGTCACATGAAGTTAAAAGATCTGATTTATCTCGAGGTCTGCAGCTGGAAAATATTAGGTTACTCATTAGTCCCAAACAACAAATGATCAGTCTTGATGCATGCTCAATTATCCAGGTAAGGAAATCCCAAACAGTTGATTCTGTTCATCTGGACGCAGCGTTTCCAGTGGGAGAGACGTTTCGTCACTCATCCAATGACTTCTTCAGTCCCAGCTTCAGTGGTGCTATTTTCAGTCATTGTGCAAATGTACTGTTTATAAGGTTGGGGAAACCTGCAGTCAACTGAACTGAAGAAGTCACCTCGATGAGTGACGAAACGTTTCTCCCACTGAAAACGCTACGTCTAGATTAACAGAATCAACTTTTTGGAGTAATTAATCAGTTTTCCTGAATTTCTTTCTCCAGAATATTAATCTTAGGCACCGTTTTAAAAATCATGGACAGATTTTCCTCCTGTTTTTGGAAACTTTCCACCTCTTGAACATTTTAATTCTCTCACCTTTTTTGCTACAATAAAAATCCACGTCTGTCTGCTTCATTCCAACCAACACCCCATTTTTTTCTGGGTTACTCCTGGATTTTAAGACCACCTTCTAGAGATAAGCCTTGCTCTTTCTCCTAAGAACCTTCTGGGATTTTTTTAAAGCCTCTCAAACTTTATTCAGAATACTGAATGAAACAGCCGTTATCTTTTGTGTCACACAAGAGCGTCGAAATCAGTCATATTTGTTATTTTTAGCAAGATGACATCTTTTCTAAACATCTTCTAAAACATGACTGATTGCATGAGATGTATTCAGGTGATATCAGTAATTTGTAGCTATGAAAAAAAGAACCTCAGTTGCACTCTCTTCAAATAGCCACTGCACCAGTACAGTATATGGTTAAAGCAGATCTCGAAAATTTCATCAAAGATTAAAGAAGTTGTTTAACTATAGAATTTCTGCACAGTTTTCACAGCTCCCCTTCTGTCCTCAAGGCCTCTCTGTGGACTCCCACTGGGCCACCAATAAGGGTCAACAAGAGAGAGCACCTGGACCAGCGGCTCATAAATTCTCAGCTTCCCTCGAAGGACAGAAAACCAAAACACGGCTCAGCGTGCCGAGGTGTAGGCTTTCCAAATAAAGGAGAAGGCTGTATGCTTTTACTGGAACGCTCTACGCCTTATGTAATGAGTTTTTCTTCCTGTCTCGAGCCACATTCTTCAAAGCAGTTGTAATATCTGTTGTGAATAGTTGTCAAGTCACTGATATGAAACTGGGAGGTGGCCAGTCCTGACATTGTGTGAGAGTCAGATTGTGTGCTTTGTATTATGTTATGGTGGCAGTGCAGTGTTTTCCTGAACCCTATACTTCCTCTACTCTTGCTTCCTAAACACTATGTTCTCTCTGATGTATACAGATTAATCAAACAGGATATCCCTGAAACACTCCTTTAGTTCTAAAACCACGTGGAGTTTTCTCTGCGTGACCCTCCTTCTTATAAGCTGCACTCTATGAATGTCAAGTCAATGTTCCACTGAGGCCAGCAGTTTAGTACATACAGACAACACAGAAAGACTTGATAAAATGCTAATTCTCCCAGGCTTGTGTGAAAGACGTATCTTGACATTTCTTGGCCAAGTTCAACTAGTGAATGGTTTTGCACTTGCACAGGCTTAAACAAATCTGCAACATAAAAGGTAAAAAGACCAGAGGTGGAAGGTGAGACTGAGGGAAGAACCTGTTGGATGAACCCAGAAAAACCTCTAAAAGGAGGCAGCTAGTATTCGCAGCCTTGCCTTATTAGTTATTACCCAGAACTCATGACCACAGGTGAGGGTTGGACCATAGATCTGGTAGCTGGAAAAGCTTTGCCTTTTGACTTATCCCACTTTTCACCATAACAGTCTGCTACAACGCCTTCATTCCTGAAGATGCTGCACCAACCCACTGGCCCAGCTCCTTTCCATCCTCGTGAATAAAATCCCAAGATACTTGAACTCAGGGGCAGCTTCTCCCCCAACATATTGGGAGAAAACTACTGTTTTCCAGCAGATAAGCTTGTGGAAACTATGAATAAACAAGACTTTGTTGGTGCAGTGGCGCCTATTGCGTACTATTCTTCACAGCTGACTTACTCTGGTTGCCAGAAAAGCTCAGACTGAGCATTTTGTCTTTTAAACAAACACACTTAGTTTAGTTAGAAGTCATCTTTTAATTTCAATATAAAAATCTATTTCAAACGTGCATGAACAAAATCTAATGTCGGTTCTAAAGCAGGTTACGCTAAAACAATGACACACTGCTAAATTTGCAGCAGGTATCTTTAATGTTGGATAAAAAAGCAGGAGTGTGAACTCTTTTCCGGCTCGTAAAATGCCAGGATAAGTTTGAGAACCAGTGCATTTAAGAAGGTTAATGCACACGTCTCTTTTTAAGAGTTAATTTGACTGAAACTTATTTGGTTATGAAATGGTTTTGATCAAACTGTCACACAACGTTTATTTTTTTAAAGACTGTTATTAGCAGATGCCGTTTTCTTGTTTAAATATCAAGTTTCCGATGTGTAAATTACACGTAAATACATGCAAATGATCTTCTATCTCATCCTGTGACACACGGTGCTCTTATTGGGACTGCTGTGGCCTCTCTGATGTCAGCAGTCATGGTGTGGTTGAGTGTGTGTGTTGGTCAGTTAGCTCAGTAGGAAAACATCTGGTCTCCAGAGTGCGATCTTATGAGTCTGAGTCTTCCTCATGGTGAATTACGTTTTGATGTTTTATACACCCAAAAATGACATTTGTTTTTTCTGTTCGTTTCATTTTGTTCTCAAAAATGATCAATGAAAAAGAATATGAGAAGTTCAAGAAGGATACTGAGGAACATCATCATGGCCGCCCGCACAGTTTGTCAGTAAATGTTCTGTCAGTGATTATTCAACATTGTTTTCAAGGAATCTTATTTTTAAGACATAATGTGACACTACAGCCAAACATCAGACACTGACAGTAAAGCCAATGCTTATTTGCTGAGAGGCTCAAGTCAACAAGGCCCAGAACACCTGATGTTTTACCTTTAGTCTTAAATGCTTTAAAAGATGACAGCTGCCTTAGGTGAGGCTTCTTCAGTTCTAAAACCTGATGGAGAGTCACAGTTTAGTGGAGGTGTCACCCTGGATGTGGTCCTGAAAGATGATGAACCACCCTGTAATTATGTGAGTCATTAAAGGCCACACATCCAGGGGACAAACCCCCAAACACAATTCAATTTATATAGTGCCAAATCATGACAAGAGTTGCCTCAAGGTGCTTTATTTAATAAGGTAAAGACCCTACAATAATAGAGAGGAAACAGAGAAAACCCCAACAATCATATAAAAGCACTTGGGTGACAGTGAGAAGGAAAAACTCCCTTTTAACAGGAAGAAACCTCTGGCAAAACGAGGCTCAGGGAGGGGCGGCCATCTACTGCGACCGGTTGTTGTGGTCGTGGCAGACCAAAGTGACTGAACAACTCTCCGGACCACCTAAACACAGGCCAACTTCATAAGGGGTTGAAAACCTGAGACTCTCCATCAGAGATGGGCAGTAACGCGTTACTTGTAACGCGTTACTGTAATCC